TAATATTCAACATGAGAGTGGAGCAGAAAATAGACCAGCCGATGCTCTTTCTGGCGTCAAAAGGATTGCTACTGTCATTCATATTAACTGTGCATCTATGTCGCAAGCGCAACAGAGTGACACTGTATTCCAATCCTTTATAGACAAAGAAAATCCAGTTCTGCAGTTAAAGAAGTTTAAAATGCCTGAGAGTTCTATATAACTCATGTCAAAATGCTAAAGTGTCTCGTCATGTACACTCTCCTTTAAGTACTTTTATAGTTCCAGATGAACATTTTTCTCATATCAATATAGATTTAATTGGACCTCTTCCTTCATCTCAAGAAATGTTTTACTGTCTGACATGCATCAACAGGTATACTCGTTGGCCTGAAGCGTATCCATTGAAAGATATACGGGCAGAGACCGTCGCCACTGCTCTTTATGCTGGCTGGATCTCAAGATTCGGTGTGCCTGCCCAGATCACAACTGATCGTGGTAGTCAATTTCGCAGCGAGCGTTTTCGAGAACTAGCCAAGAACTTTGGTATTCGCCTTTCTCATACCACCTCATACAACCCACAAGCCAACGGCATCATTGAAAGATGGCACAGATTTAATGTGTCATACATCTGTACACTGGACTACTGCATTACCCTCAGTTCTTTTAGGATTTCGGACCCCTTTTAAAAAGGAACTTAACTTCTCTCCAGCCAATCTTAAGTATGGTCAAACTTTACGTCTTCTAGGACAACTCTTTATGCCTCCCAACAGCAACAATCCGAAGAAGACTTTCTACAAAAATTAAATGACCATATAGAACACGTTTGACCGACTGCTACAAATCTTTCCAAAAAACAGATCTTTGTGTACAAAGACTCAGATAAATGTTTCTCATGTTTTTCTGCATGTAGAAACCCTCGTTGCATACACCTTACAGTGGTCATTACAATGTGCTTCAATCCTGTGTATGCTATTTCTAAAGAGACATTATAAACACAGCACCAAAATTATACATAAAGACACACTAATATTATTATAACATGTATTTCAAAGGACTTTTGAATTTCATTAATACTCTTCTTATTCGCACAAGATACTTTTCGGTTTGTATACAGTACAAAGTCCGTAATCCGGACCCGTCGGGACTTCGGATTATAGATCATCAATTTAAATCTGGTAAGATGGCATGCAGAAATTATACAATTAAAAATATGAAATCGTAATTTATGAAATAAAGAACAATTAGGATCTAGGGTATCAAAATTTACAAAAAGAAGCTTAATATTTATTTGTTTACTTTATTAAACATTTCTTTCATTGCAAGTTGGTTAAGATGCTTCTACAAAAAATTCAAAAAGTTCCTTTTTCTTGTGTCATATATAGTGGACTTTCCAATGCTATACTTCTTGCATAATTTTGAGACGGATAGGCCTTTATCCATTTTTTGCAGCAATTCCACTTTTTGTTTAATGGACATTGAAACATGCTTTCACCTTTTAGATCCTTTGGCAGCTCCAGAATTGGAAATTCTGTTTGACACAATCGAAAGTTCAAGCTTAATTTTTATAAAATTGTTCTAACAGTCTGCAAAAAATAATAAGCCGGATCCAATTAGAAGATTAAAGAACAGCGCAGTCTGCAACATTAACTGAAATGCCTTAGATAATTTTAGCCTAGCTTATACCATCCATTATACATTAAACGCGTATGCGTTTGTGTTTACGCATGCGCATAAAGTTTGTAGCTTTGAGGTCCGGATTATGGACTTTGTACTGTATATATAGTTTACACTGTTACTCTAATTCAGAAGTTTCTAAATCATATGCTAAAAAACACTTCAGTGAGAAATATACATACAGTATATATACAGTGGTACCTCGATATACGAGTGTTTTGAGATACAAGCAATATTTTGCTTTGAGATGAGAGCAAGATTTGAGATACGAGGAATCGCACACTACCACAACATGCGTGTGCATGTTGGTGTCATGTGCAGTGTCTAACAGTTTCTCCCACCTCAGACTAGACTTGTTTCTCTTGGAAAATCCATGGGTCTGGAGATGGATGAGAGACATGTGAATGAACTCGTCCAGGAACAGTCTCAGGAGCTGACAACCGAAGACTTAAGACGATCTACATTCTCAGCAGCATACGGTGGTTCAATGAAAAATTAGTTTTGAAGACGAGCCAGAGATGGAGGAGGTTATCTCTACAAGAGATAAAAAGGAGATCTTGGGAGAAAATTGTAAAGTTCGTGGATAAAAATCACGCCTAAAAAGTTGCAATTCGCCGTGCATTGGAGTTGTTGAATGAATCTTGCCTGACTGATTTCCGCAATATCCTAAAAGGGAGGAAAAAACAAACCTCCTTGGACAGTCTTTTTAAGCGATCTGCAGGTGAAAATGAGCAAATCGTGACAAAAAAAGGCAAAGATCAGTGACGAAAATTAAGCGCTTCCGTAAGCACTTCACTTTTTCTTTTAATTATGTTTTTATAGAATATGTATTTTGTTATTTATAAATAAATGTTTCTTCTTGTAAATACATTTTTCTTATTCAAAAACACTTAAAAAAAAACAACTGAGGTGGTGTTTTCGGAGCTGGAATGGATTAACGGCATTTCAATGGGGAAAATTGCTTTGAGATACGAGCAAGGTTACGGAACAAATTAAACTCTTTATGTCGAGGCACCACTGTAATTAAAAAACATGATTTTTTTTCTTCCTGCATAGGAAAAAGAATTATTTTCATTAGCTTACATAAAAGTGGGAGGTTAAGAAGGTCAGTGAACAAAGAGATGGGAGAGGAAAATCATACTTGCAGTTTTTGAATGTGAAAGCAACGGATGTAAACAATGAGAAACAGGCTCTACGCTTATATGCACCCTAATATCACCAAATGTGGGAATATGTGTTCTGCGCTGGTTTTTTGCACAATTGCGTGTTGTATAGCAACCCTGTTGACATTGAAAAATCTTTTGCTGGAGTAGTTTAATTGCTCGTTGGTTCGTGTTTTGATATGACGTATGTTACAATGAGAGACATGGTGGGAACTTTTCAGTCGCGTATTTTAGATTGTGTGCAAAGGAAATTTATTATTAAAAGGTACGATGTTGGAGTTGTTAACAAGTCTGCTCTGTCTGAGAAGATGGGGGGGGGGAAGATAAAGTGGTGGAAGTTGATGAGTCGAAGTTTGGCAAAAGGAAACATCATTGTCGCCATCCTGTTGAAGGGCAGTGGGTATTTGGAAGTGTGGAAAGAGGGTCTGGGAGATTATTTTTAATAGCTGTTCAAGATAGAAGTTGGGAAATGCTGATTGTATTAAAGAGTGGATTGAGCCTGGTAGAGCTATTTTTCGGATGGATGGAAATCTTACAAGGATTTAAGAAAAGAAGATTTTGAACATTTATTTGTGACTATAGTATGAATTTTCTGGATAGTGTGTCTGGCTGTCATATAAATAGGACAGTGATTAAGTGGCGGCATGTTAAAGGTGGTATGAAATTGGTATTTCTGCTGTTCGAAAAAGCATTCATTCATGGTAAATGCATTTTATTTTATTCTTATTTTGTAGAATGTTATGTTCACTGTTTTTTTAGTATGAATTATTGTTTTTTTTTTTAATTGTTTGAAATTTATTTTGTTGATTAGTGCCTAGATTGTGCAATTCGTAGATGTTTTTTAAAGTTGAAACAGAACGCTGTGTACATGGTATTCTTTGAAATTTATTGTTATGTTAATTTATTAAAGCGAGATGTGCATAGTTCGTAGTCTAGATTGTGCAATTCGTAGATGTTTAAAGATATCCCTGTGTACATGGATTCTTGTCCAATATTTTTGGTTAGAAACTTTACGTTTTTGCTATCAAAATTTTTTGTTTCGAATTTTTAGCTTAAATTGTGTTCAAAACGTGGTTTTTGCATTTGTGAAAACCGCGTTTTTGGAGACATTTTAGGCTTAAAGTTTGAAATGTACACAAAAAATTTAGATAGTAATATGGCAGCAAGGAGTTTAGTATCCTGAGAGCGCATATAAGAGTAGTTCTAAGAAACATTTTTAACTTGTGTATTTAATTCTCATGTTACTAGTTATATTCAAAAAGAAACAAGCACTAGATTTGTCCATAAGCAACCTACAACACTAAAAATTTATAAGAAGTACTAGATCTACTCTGAAAATACTAAAGGCAGCCATTTAATCTAAGCTGTTTAGTTTCCCAAGAGTTGACACTAGTTCAATGAAGGATTTGGCATGGTGAGATCCCTAAGGCTAATATCACACATGCATTTGTTTCATTCGGACAACTTTTCTGCCCGGTTTACTACTGAAAGAAAGACCACAATTTTTTTCCTTCCGTTCAGAAAAAAATTGCAGGATGTTCGTTTTCAACGGAATCAGCTATCAGCTTGTTTGTAATGAAGAACCAATTTTCCCTTTACATGTTAACCACAAAGTGATCTGTGGTGATTGGCTGTTGTGACAAAGCTGAAAAATTGTTCCAAACAGTTGTTCTTTAGAAAAAATGGATATGTGATAGTAGCCTAAGAGATTTATTCAATAGATCTGACAATTTATGATCTTGTGGCTCATATTGAGACTCCTACGCAATACTGTGAAAAGGAACTTGTTGAATACACAACAATATGTTCATTAAAGGCTTTGGGGAATAATTTATAGCGAATTCATACATTCATGTTTAATATCAATTGAAAGGAAAATAAATTATAGTATTATAATGGCACCTTGTAATTGAAATTCATCCATTTCTAGTTTTTGTCATTTTAATGTTACATAGATTACAGAGTTTCAAAACCAATGTACACACAACAAAAGAAAAAATTTTCCCTTACTATGTTCCCAATCTACAGAATTTCACTACTTAGATTAAACAAGAAGCATCCTTTCAATATACATAATGTTTTTTACTCTAGCATACAAATCACAGTAGATTAATAAAATATGATCTGAATACGAAAATGCAGACTACCTTAATTAAAAGAAATAAAAACAGAACAATATCATACAGGTTTCAAATTTATTAGTTGTCATTCATTAGTAAAGATTCAAAACAAGTTTTTACATAAAAAAAGTATTCAATATTTTGCTATGAAAGCATAAACTGAAAATGTATATTCATGGTGAACAACTTGATTTCGTGCTTACTGAAATATCTGATACATCATACAATTTCTTATAATGCTTTAGAACATTCAATTAACAAATGCATATTCTAAAATGTATACCAAATGTGACAATTATTATAGAAAAAAACTTTGTTGACTACCATATATTTAATATAAGTCTACCAATATTTTGAATTTTGATAACACGGAAACATATGTTTTCGTCAAATTAAAGAATTTTTTTTTTTTTAAATCTTTAGATTAAAAGGAAGTTTCTAAACATTTCTTTAGAAATGCACTGAAAATGACTGGTATTGATTTCTAGAAGATAAAGGTGCACATTAATTCATTATGCTATAAAATCATTCAAAACATTTTCATGACATAAAAAATGTTCAATATTTTATACAAAAATCATTTATTACAAATAACTGTTGTAACAAATAATAAAATCTGAGGATCTGAATATTGTTTCAAAAGCCATATTAATAAAAATATTATAAGAGCTGATGTTAAAAATATAACTATACTTACGGGAACAAATATTTTAATTAACTATTTTAAAACTGTATAAAGATTTTACTAGATATCTTAACATGGAATGGATGCAGTAGACTTCAAAATTAAATTTATTAAAGTAACCTTTCTTTGACATTAAATAATCATTAATAGATAATTTATTTTACACAAACATCTAAATCATAAGAAGTTTTCATATAAACACAAATATTCCAGTGACACACTTTATGGAGTTAAGGAGTAAAAGTCAGATTCATTGGTGATAAATGTCCACCTGGTGTTGCTGCATTTTGGAACCTAAATTGAGATGAATCTCCTTTGTTTTCTTCTGCACGACCTCTGTTGAGGGCAGAGATCTGCTTCAGAAGCGTTTTTGCATCTTCTTTGGTTTCAGGATAGTCCATACACTTTTGAGCATTTTCATGAGCTTCTTCTAATTTCAGATGTTCATAATAATACTTGGCTAAGTATAAATATGCATGACACAATTCATCCCGGTCTGTGGCATTTCTGGCCTCTGCATCACGAATATAATCAGTATATGCAGCAGCAGCTTGTTTCTCCTCGTTTAATTTTTCATACATTTTGGCTAGTTTAATTAAAGCCATACCTTCTATATCACCAACAGCATGAGCCTTCCAGAAGCACTTTTTTGCTTCTTTCAATTTATCCAGTTTTTCGTAAGCTTCACCTAACGCTACCATCATTCGAGAGTCATATGGCCTAAGTTGTTGTGCTTGTTTATAATAATATAAGCAATAGCAAGGCATTTTTAAAATCTCATATGTTTGACCTAATCCATACCAAGCACGATAATCTCTTCGGTTAACTTCAATTGCTTGTCTATAGGCTTGAATTGCAAAACTGGTATTTTTCATTTCCATGTACTCATGACCCATCAATGTCCAAGCAGAAAGGTAATTGGGATTAAGTTTCAATGCTCTTTGGAAGTACAGAACAGCTTTTTCATGTTGTGTCCTTAAACTGTAAAAATTTCCTATAACACAGCACGTTTCAACTCTGTATTTATCGATGTCACATGTATTATGAGCCAGGTTACTTAATTCAACTCTCATTTCTCGAACATACAATAAATTGGAATAGATGTCCATGTTATCCAGTCGATATGGATCAACTTTTAGTATTTCCTGGAAACCATTTATTGCTTTTTCAAGATCTCTCATATTATGATATGCTATGGCAATTTGGGCCATGACATAGGTACTTTTTGAAAACCCAATTTCAATTAATTTGGAATAAATTTCCAATGCTGATTCATTCATTTGAATTTCTAGATAGGTATGAGCTAAAAAGAAATCTTTTATCCAGCAATCAGGTAAAGTAAGATCATTTAACATTTCCCTATCTGATATTAAAGTAGCAAGTTCCAACCATGCACCCCAATGAAATGGTTCTCTGCGAATGGCTTCTGTCAGAATCTCAACTGCAAACTTTTCCAACTGTAATTTTTTTAAAACCACACCATAAAGATATAAACAATATCCATCCAGCAAACCAGCTATATAAGCCTTATGTAACTGTAGCCTTAAGGATTTTAAAACAGTATTTTTTGATTTATCCATTGGTGGAGAAACATCAGCAATATCGTCTAATCGTTTTTTCTCACCTGATGAATAGATGGAATAAAAATGTAAAAATCTAGCAACAGAAGATTGGCAGTTTTGAGTAAAATAAGCTGCTCGATCATATTCTTGAGCATCAAAATATGATTTAGCTAGTGAATATCTTGCAAATTCCTTTTTATCTAAGACATCGTCATCATCTTCCATACAATCAGAGTCGGAGCTCTCAAAATCGCTAAGTGCTAGATATAGTTCAGCTGCCCAAGACACAGTATTTCTCAGTCCTCTTTTGTTGCACTGTCGCATTATTCGCAGCAAATCTGAGTTAACTTTTCCTAAATCACATTCAGATAGTAAAGCCATTTTGTTATAATATGGAAGGAGAATTTATCTTCTTATTTATTAAAAAGCTGCAAAAAAAATAATTTAGGAACTTAAAGAAATATATAAAATAAAAAAATTCTCATGACACATAAACAATAACAAAAATTGTTAATGGAATAATTTTCATATAAAAATATATATATAAATATCTATGCAAATTCAGCATTAGTCAGATTAAAAGAAATAACAAAAGCCCAACAAAATCATCAAAGGCCTTTTTTTTTGTCAGAACAAACTTTTTCTACATTAACAATGCATAAATTAGAATAAATGGAATGGATATAAATTGATCAATAAGCTCTTGCTATTAGACAATATTATCATGGCCCATTTCAGCATTAAATTTTTCCATGAATTTCTCATCCATCCTCCCCAAACGAGCCAAAAATTCATTTTTCTCTTCCTCATTCCAAGCAGCATACCATTCACGGAACAATTTCATACGACACTGAAATATACTAGGTGGCCTGTCATTCAGTTCTAAGCTATTCATAGAATTTGACATGCCATTAAGCTCCTTACGTGAATAAGTATCAACTAGAATGCTATAAAAGTCATCTTTCTGCATTTCACTATACTCCATAAACCACTGAATGAGGTAATTTAACTGCTCAGCGATGCCAATTGGGCCTTTGTTGGTCATGATTTTGTTAACGAAATGAAAGAAGGAATGAGGCTAATGAGCAATTCTTAATATAGAAGTGCTAATAAAGTTTGGTCAACTTCTAGCAATTTAATAAGTAAGCTTCTTCTACCTTGAATAGACCATTCATCAAACCACAGAGTGAACTGCTTCAATTGACATTCAAACACAGATGGTGATTGTCTTGATATTTTTAAAGATTCAAAACTGCTGGCTAAATCTTCAACATGTGATAAAGGTTGGTTTTTCAAAACATCCAAAAATTCCTTTCTCTGGGTGTTGCTCCAATTGCGAAACCAATGTAATGCACAACGAATTTGTTCTTCTTCAGGGCTAAAAGACATGAATTTTCCAAAGACGATGTCACCTGAAAATAAAATAATCTCTGTAAATCTAGGAGGGAAAAACATTCAAGATACTTTCTTTATTATTATAATGGCCACTGTTATTAAACCCTTTCCAGCATGCTACTTTTCAAAGTTGGAATTTCAATAACAATAATAATAAAGGTAGGCAGTCTAATCATACTTAGTACACAGGTAAAATTTTATATAGATAGCACTTAGAATTTTAATTTTGCGGATGTGCCCAAGACATGCTCACTAAAGAATGGCGCTTTGAAAAGAGCCCCAAAGCGAGTACTTCTGCGGAGCATGTAATAGAGTGAAAGATTTTGTCTATGATTAAAAAACACTAGATTCTAATTGCAATAACAGATTTAGCTCTCCCCAGGGTGGCTTGCTACTCACCTACAACTCCCAAAAAAAGCACTTCTTGATTATATAATAATCACATGTGTATAAATGAAAAAAAATATAACTTGCTTATATGATTAATAACATTATTTACACTTTCATCTATTTTTTTTGTCATGGTGGTATTTCTACAAGCAAGTGACACTATCTTTGAATGTGTTAACCACTTAACAGTTTTATTTTCCTGCTGTATTGCATTGTGACCAAAAATATGCATATTTTTTAATAAACAATTTTGTAATCTAGTCGATTACATGAATTCAAATCAGTAGTCAAAAGAGTTACAAGTATTGTATTTATTAATTCAAGGTAATTTTTAATTGTAACGAAATCACATTTTTACTTAAAGCTGGCTTTTTTATGATGAAACTGTAGAAGTGGAAAGAACACTTTCCAGGAGAAAAATTTGAACGAAGTAAATTCCCTGTGAAAGGAAATCGCGGTCGTGGTGGTGGAGAAGGATTACTAGTATCCATTTTAAAGAAGTTCCAAACCTGAATTAAATTATCCGAGCTTTCCATTTCCGCATCATCACTATAAAATTACGATAAAGAACTTTCAAGATTACCAGAATCACTTATGGAAAATTCAGATTCCCCATCAGATTCAGTATCAGAATTATATTCTGTTCTGAGCCATTTACTGTTACCCATTGCTCTTTTTTTTTTTTCATTACTAAATTGGGATGAAATACTATTCAGTCTAATACACTGAACAGGTGCAAACTCGTTGAATTTCTTTATGTAATGAAAAGTGGTGAAACCTGTCCTCGAACTGGTTTTATAATCCAATCTTTCCTGGACCACTACAGACATCGATTAGAAACACTGCAAAGTAAAAAATAAGAAAAAGCCGGGAAAATCAATGAACAAAATCAATTGCACTGCCCGAGTTGTGTACAGGCAAATAAAAAAGTCCCTTTTCACAGCACCCAAACAGTGTTCAGGCAAAACAGTTAAATGGTTAAATGTTACTGAATCTTATTTCTTCAGAAACTAATATTATACATACAATTAAGAAAATATATACTATAAAATAAAATTAAATAAACATCTACAACTCAAAACTATCCGAACGCAGAGCTAACAAAACTTCTTTCAATGAAATGACAAAAAAAGAGAACTGCTCTAGTGAAAATCAAAGAGCTAATTGATAAAACTAACCCCTGATCTTCAGAAAAACACCCCAACAATTCCTTAGTTGATAACCAAACCTCCCCCCCCCCCAAGAAAAGAAAACTGGAAATACAACACAGCTGTGCACCCACCTCTCTCTGTTGTGAATGGGCTCACTAAAGAAAATTCCGCAGTGAAACAGCAATACAGCTACTGGTCTGATGTTTCGGTTATTGCACTTTGGGTATACAGAAGATGTTCATTGTTTGATTGCAGGCAAAATTTTGAGGTAAAAATTTAAAACTAACATAGAATAAAGAAATCAGCATACAGCCAAGAAAATAACATAGATATTGAAAAATATGGGTCTTTAAAAAATAAACATGGCTAAAATGTATGGACTGGTTTGTGTTGTTCTGCCATCTAGTATTAATAAAGAAGGTTAAAAGTAACCTTGTAAGGATCTTAAGTTTTACTAACGTTTATTTTATTTTAAATCTTTACTATCACTTCTTATTTTCTACTTCCGGCCAGAATTATAAGCGTTAAGGATTTTATGCAAAGTTTGTCTGGCGAACGCCAAGTATTAAGTGTGGCCTTTTTGCCCAAGCAGGAGAGAGGAAGCAGTGAGTTCGAAGCAGGCCGCTTACCTTAGAAGTTACGCAGTTGCTATTTGCCTTCCAGGCCAGAGGTTTTAATCCTCTTGATAAATTAAACGTATTGTAGTGTTCACAGTCTCTGTGCTACATACGCTTCCTGTTATTATAAGGCCAATCTTCCACGTATATTATTCTAAAGTTAAATTAGAGTTTAGTTTTATTTTGATATCTTTTACGTTAGACCCCGAGTGGAGGGTCATTGTATTCCGAGTACGGAAGTCATTGTATATAAAGAAAAATAAAGGGTTTTGTATACCCTTCGTCTGTATCCTGTCTACTTACTACAATTAGTGAACATAGCTTTAGTAAGCTCTCTGTTCCTAGTCAGGTCATTGTATGTTTCCGAAGAAGGTTAGAAGAAACAAGAAGAACCTGATAGTGGCGCCCAAAGAAGAAGAATAACCATGGCCGAGTTTCAAGAAGAACCTGTGCTGCCTGTAGCAGAAACGGCTCAGAATCCAGAAATGCCAGGCTGCCGCCCTGGAAGGATTTTGGGTACATCGTCCAGACCATGCGCGCTTCGATGAAACCAGAAGCAACATTTAATGGAAACTCACCGGTAACCAGTTTTTTGGAAAAATTGGATGACCACTTCATGCTCTACCAGACCCGTGCACGAGTTTCAAAAAGTTACCTTAGCTACCAGCGCTTTGAGGGGCCAAGCGCTTACTTAACTGGTTCAAATGTATCGGCAGAAGTCTCTTGGGTCAAGCAGGAAGTCCCACCTATACTTACGAAAATTTCAAGACTGCCCTACTAAAAGCCTTCCCTGTTGTAAGGGATCGTGCGAAATTAGAAACAGAACTTTTCAGTATATCAACAAAGAATGGAAACCTCTCGAGCTTTATTTTTAAGAAAAATTCACGTTTTCAAGCTCTTGTATGGAAACCATCCGGATCCTGAAATAATTCAAGTGATTTTGCCGAAGTTACTACCCCAAGTGCAAGATTTTATTGAATTAAGAAAATCCGACTACACTGGAAAAGTTATTTTGAGCTAGCAATCCAGTTTGAAAGTAGAAGAACGGCGGATGTCGAAAGAAGACGCCAATATCAACAGCGAAACCAATTTGATACGCCAAGACTACAGCAAACTCAAGCATACGGCTACGGAGAAAAAGCGAATCACTGGGCAAGGAAACCCGAGCATTCAAAAACAGCCGGCGAACGTCGACAGTTCAATAGCAACCCAGGAAAAAAGTCTCAAGGCCAGTGGAGAAAGAAGGAAAGCACGGAAAGGAAAAATAATTTAAACTAAAACGGATTTCTGCTTACGAGAGGGTGCGGAAATCCGAAGGCCACGAAAACCCCTCTTCCTACAAGTTAAATACAGTAATGGTGAAAAATTTAACTCTTCCGAAGATTGAAGTCTTGGTAAATAATATCCCGGCCACCGCACTCCTGGATACCGGCGCGCAGTGTTCCTGTGTGGCAGAAGAAGTCTTTTTTAGAAAGTATTTTCGCAAATACCGCATATATAATGCGGATAATACGACAGTATTAGCGGCGCAAGGAAAAAGAATGTAAGTGCGTAGGTAAAGTACCTTTATATATCCGTATCAAGGACGAACAAGTAAAGGTGATGTTTTTTATAGTAAAGAATTTGCAAGCACATTTAATCCTAGGAATAGACTTTCTTTCAGACGCACAAGCTACACTGGATTTTAATGAAGCGTCCCTTAGGCTGACAATGAAACCAGTGCGTGTAGAAAAGGTTGAACCGCCAAGGTTAAATCTTGACCACCTGCCTAATGACGAGCAAGATAGAATCCGACAAGTGGTAAGTGAATTTGCTTCCTTATTTAGTGATATTCCAGGATTTACTCAGGTTACTAACCATAGTATTGACACCGGAGATGCATTGCCGGTTCGTCAAAAACCATACCGGTATGATAAGAATAAGGAAAAAATTATAGAATGGCATATTACCGATATGCTACGTAAAAAGATCATAACGCCTATCTCAAGTAGTTATGCTAGTCCGGTGGTTTTATGTAAGAAAAATAATGATTATCCTTTGGAGCATCCAAAAAGGTGGAGATTCGCTATTGATTACCGTAAATTAAATTCCATAACGAAATATCCGGTATATCCGTTTACCGATCATAGAAGAAAAGAAATTTTAAGGAACATAAAATCAACCAAATTTATGACGACTTTAGACTTAACGAATGTTTATTTTCAAATAGGGGTCAGGCCTGAGGACGTGCCTAAGACTGCTTTTATAACCAAGTCTGGCACTTATGCATTTTTGCGTATGCCGTTTGGCCTTTCAGGCACCCCAGCAACATTTCAGCGATGCATGGACATTGTGTTAAGACCTGTTCTTGGAAAGTCCACATTTATCTATTTAGATGATATCATTATTACTAGTGATAATCTCGACCAACATATACAGGATTTAAGACAGGTGTTTTTCTTTATTAAATGAGGCCGGTCTAAAAGTTAATGTCGAAAAGTGCAAATTTGCAGCCCCTGAATTAAAATATTTAGGTTACAAAATATCGCAAAAAGGGATCGAGACAGATGAATCAAAAATAATCGCTGTACAAAAGTATCCGACTCCAAACACGGCAAAGAAGCTCTCTTCTTTTCTAGGACTTTGTTCATATTATAGGTCCTTTATAAAAGATTTTTGCGGCTATCGCTGAGCCATTGTTAAAATTAAAAAGGAAAAAAGGCAAGATTCTCGTGGACGGCCGAAGCCAATAGTGCTTTCGAAA